TAAATAGCCATTCAAGAAAGCTGTTTTCACGTCCATTTGGTGAATATACAGTCCTTTTATGGCGGAAATTGCTATAAGAGTTCGAATAGAACTAATTCTAGCAACTGGAGCATAGGTGTCGAAATAATCGACACCCTCTTTCTGTCTACATCCTTTTGCCATCAATCTAGCCTAGAAGAATGATATTGAACCATCAGGATGCATCTTTCTTTTGAATATCCACTTGGAACCAATGGGTTTCACCCCTATTGGCAAATTTGCCAACACCCAAGTTCCATTACCCAAAATGGAGTCCATCTCATCATTTATAACTTCTTTCCACATAGGAGCATCCTTTGAAGTTATGGCCTCTTTTAATGTCTTAGGATCTTCTTCAGTAGTGATAGAGAAAATGAACTCTCTTGTCACTTTCCTTTGAGTCCCTTCTACCAAGTACGAGAAAAAGTCATTTCCCAGATTTTTCTCTTTTCTCACTCTTGTACTTCTTCGTTTCAATTCAGTTTCAAGATCTGTCTTAAGATCAGACAATTTCTTTGAAGTATCCAGGAGTTTACCTTYTAAYTCCTTCTGAAGCATTTCGAACTTTTTCTTCTGATTAATCAACTCTCGTTTCTCTTCATCTGAGCTGCTTTTGTCATTCTCCGAAGCAATGTCAAGCCACTTTCTTTTCTCAGTAAGCTCTTTGGAAATTGTTGTATACTTCTTTGAAGTATTTCTTTTCTCAATAGCAAATTGCTTTTTCTCATCGTCTAAAGCCTTTTGCTTTAGATCAATGCTTTCAGATAATTGCTGTAGTTGACTTTGACAGTCTTCAGAGATGTCTTTCTTTTCTTTAGCATTCWTCGCTCGTTCCAAAATGATAAGCTGCTCAAAATCCGAGATTTGCTTTAGAAGCATCTTTGCGTTCAGTTCGAGAGAACTTACTGAGAATCAGAGACTTTCATGAACTTCTTGAACAATGTTTCGGGTTGAGAAAATATTTGAGTTTTGATTGGTGCAAAGCGTTAAAATACGAAATAAACCTTTAATATTAAAAGATGGGTATGGGTGTAAGCTTTGCTTAAGAATATTGCAGGAACGACTTGGTCAGAAACCCATGGGATTTCTATAAGAACTCCTTTCTCTTGAAAGTGAATTCTTATATATTGTGCCCACAGAGTGCCCACAAAGCGTCCAGATTTATCAACC